TTTATTTATGTTAATTGTTATGTTTCGTCAAGACCTACAAAATTATACCAAACTTGACTATACTTGCTATTTGAAAATTTTGAGCTACCCCCTACTCCCGCTATCCCTAAGGGCAAAACTTTCAGAACTGACCATAATTATTGTAGCCCTTTATATCCAAACAAGTTGTTGCAAACCGATTTCAAATATCTCAAATAGTTAAAAAGTTAAAGAGGGTGCAAGTTAATTTTTTTGCCACGCTCATGGTTATTTGGATTTTAAACGTTTTAGGGCGCCATTTTGTTATTAGTGAGCCGATTTTGGTTTTCTTTATGTCAATGTTTATGTTTTGTCAAGACCTGTAAAATGATACTTAACTCGACTATACTTGTCATTTGAAAATTTTGAGCTACCCGTTACCCCTAAGGGCAAAATTTTCAAAATTGACTATAATTATTGTGGCCCCTCATATCTAAGAAGGTAACCCGATTCAAACCGATTTCAAATATCTCAATTGGTTGAAAAGTTAAGGGGGGGGGGGGTGGAAGTTACTTTTCAGCCACCCTGTATATAGAATCAAACAGTAGGTTAGTCTCATTTGGTATTTTAAATCTGTACACCAACATACCTGTAGCTGAAACTGTGGATCTTGTCAATTGTAGGCTTATACATAATGGATTAGAAAATGAATATGTAATTCAGATTGTAAAACTGCTCACAACTGGTTTAAAACAAAATTATTTTAGATTCAACAACAAGTTTTATGAACAAACAGATGGTTTGGCAATGGGAAGCCTACTTTTGGCAATTTCAGTTTCAGAAGTATTTTTGCAATATCACGAAAAAGAAATATTGGATAAAATTACAACTCAGTAATGATGTAAAGCTTTATGTTGTACCGACCTTACAAAATTTCACTTGGAAGTCAGTAGGAGAAATGAATTGAACACCATAAAGAAGATTGCACAGGCTAACGGATTTCAAATTAAAACAATAGAAGAAATTGCTAAAAAGACGAGACGAAAAATCGAGAGGCAGAAAAAGTTACACAGCAGGACAACGTTGGAAGAAATGAAAGTAGAAAACGCCAGATATGATACATTTAGCTACACAGGACCCCAGAACACAAAGGATCGCTGACAAATTTAAGAAATGCGGAGTATCAATAGCCTTCAGGACTCAGAACACCTTGAGTAAAGTATTGCATCCGCAAATAGAAGAATATAACAAATTCGACGCTTCAGTGATCTACGCTTATAGGCATGCATTGTGGATGCGATACTCCCTGGTGTGGATTAACGTCCGCACGGGTGAGTACTACGACTATCCGCAGTACTATCCTGATAATTAGACCAATTCGTAATTACCAAGGCAAAAATGTGGTTCGGATTCCACTATAAACTGTAGGTCCCTTAGTTGCCATTAGCTGTATGGGCTATTAATTAACAGCTGTGTCTAAGGAATGTCAGTCTTAGTCACTAACAAGACTACAAGATCGCGCCACTCATCCTACACTCCATCTCCATTCATACTTGGCTTAAAATACCTAAGTTACTTTGTTTAGTCGCCATTTCCATTTCATAGAACAGTATTAACAGTACAAAACAAATTGTAATGATTGTGATAGCTTTTATATAGGACAAACTGTAAACTTTGTTAAACGTTTCAAAAACCATGTCTCTGCATGGAGAAACAACAAACCGGAAAGATCAAATGTCACACAACACTTGTTACAAAATGGCCACTAGTTAGGTAAAATGGAAGACAATGTATGTATTTTAAATAATTGTAAGAAAGGAAATATGAATGAACTAGCTGTACCCACGGGCTTTGCCCCGTTTAACTTCATAAGTATTCGCATGGCTCAATCACGTCCCGGTTGAAGTTCGTTCGCTACGCTCACTCACCTTCAGGTTGGAAATCGTTCGCTGCGCTAACTTGTTTTCAGGTTAGCTCGTTCGCTACGCTTACTCGCCTCAAGGTTGATGTTTGTTCGCTACGCTCACTCACCTTTTGGTTGCAAATTAGCTGTTCATAACATGCTGTCATACATTTAAAAAAGTCATCCCTTTTATTGTTTATAATACAGTACTTTTATAAAGGTTTTTATGTTTTAATATTTAACATTGGAGAATTTAAACGTTGTTAAGTGCACAGGTGTGCTGCGATTGGGGTTTAATACATTTGGACTTATTTAAAAGTAAAATAGTTTTCTGTGCTGCAATCTGTAGAAACACTGTGGCACTATTTCAAATCATGACTAATGCTAATACAGAATGTTGTAGTTATTCAAACGTACAAAACAGTTGGTGAAAGTAAACATCTGCTTTTAAATTATACTAGGTGAAACCCGTCGAAATCGACGGTTACTTTCAAGGCTTACGTTAATTCATCTAACTGCGATAAATTGGGTGAAATATGCATAATTGATCATTTAGCATTGTTTAAAGAGTAATAAGTGTAAAAACAATGATGATATTAATTGCGTTAGTTGCCAAATTTGGTTGATCATTCAATGAATAAAATATTCCCCATACCGTACGTCATCGGAGTTATTATTAGTATGTTATATGGTATCTCTTCCTTTGGAAGAACCTTTAAATAGTATTAAAATCGTATTGGTGGATCTTTAGTAGTTAAACACTTCCGTAATTTTATCAGTGTAATATGATTTTATTTCAAAAGAAAATATTTTTTTGGGAAGACATATTCTAACTTCAAAGGGAGGAAGGCCTATATCCGTTACAGTGTAAGTTTGATTTTTCCTTCGCCAAGTCGCGTCAGTTCATTTCGTACTTCTGTGCCAATGAATGAACCCTCTAGCATAGTTTTGAGAAATTGATTGTGGGGTTACTGTTAAAGCTGGAAGTCCTTGACATGGGGGATGTCAGTTAGTTGTCTCAGCATTATCAATAACATAAAGTTGTCAATATAATCTCTCTACGGAATGTTAGGTGTAGTGGAATACTTGAAGTGAAGTTGGCTTTTATTCTTGAACTGTTAGGGGCCTCCTAGTTTATATGGTCTTGCGGATTCATTGGCAACAAATAATACAAATGACATAGCAATGGGACATTTCCAAAAAGCAAAAATACTGTAAATTGGCTGTTACGTATTTATTGACGTTTACATATTGTTAATCAACGTATCTTATAAAGGATTATGTGATCTAGTTTAAAAGGACATTTCTGTCATGACAGTAGCTGCTTAAGTAGTATTTTTTCTTTGTACCATTAGTACCATATTTTACAGCCAAAATGTCGTGTTATTTTCAATAGTGTTATCAACCCAGTGTGCCAAAGTTCGTAATATAGGCAGGTGCAAATAATTTGCCAAGATGGGTACCATTTTAGGGAAGGTTTCTATGTTTGGATTTTATTAAACACGATAAGAGCAGATATTTCTACATAAATATTTTATATGTGTAGAATAATATGATAAAATGTAGGCAAAAGTGGTGAAAAAGGCAGACACCAACCCGTACAATAGATATAAGATAGTTCAATAAGAAATAATTTAAGACTTGCTGTGAAAAAAGGATTTTCCACTGATTTCGTAATGGAACGTTATATTGCAAAACATGACATGATAAAGAAGAAAATCAATTTTAAAATCAGAAAAACACATTGCATATACTTATTTGGCAGAATTCAGTAACTCCCAATAAATGTGTGTTGTGCCGTTCTCTCAAATTAGTGGGGCCAAAGTTTCCAATTAAATATTTAGATTCCCCCATGTTAATCTTATGGGTAAAACTCCAACTTTGATGGCCTGTGGGGCAAAACCCGAGGATTTTTATTACAGGAATTGGTGAAAGGGGGCGTCTACACAAAAAATACTTTATTTTGACACGTCGTTTTTAAAAATCCGTCCATTATTAACGGAGGAGTAGTGTTTTGTAGAAATGGCCTTCACGTATTATATATAAGGATTTATTTGTAAACATTCTAGATCAAAAAGTCTGACATTGGCCCACTTAAAACCCTCTGGGCAGAGCCCTTTTGACAGATCTGCACCAAACTTCACTCGAACGATCCTTGAAAGATGCTGAATAATGCCTGAAAGTTTCATTACAATCTGTCGAGCGGTTTCGGAGTCCATAACGTATATACACATATATATACATACATAGTTCCTCTTTTATAAATATAGATTGGAAGAATTGTATATTTACAAGGAAAAATGCAAAAAAATAGAAACAATCTAATTAATGAACAAGTGAATTTTGACTCCAGTTGTACTTCTTATAGAAACTTACTGGCCGGTACTTCCGGTAACCATATAAGGGACACCATTTTAATTCTTGTCATTCTCCTATTGGGTCTGATGATGATTGGAGTGTCCAGGCGAAATTGATCACCACTTACTATCTTTTATATGTATTTACCGTCTTGTGAATAAGTTAAACAGTATAAGTGTAAATATATTATTATAAGTGTTATTTGACAAATTGTTTGTGATTTCAGGAGAATATTAGTGACAGATAGTCAGTGGGAACTAAGTTCTACTAGCTAACTATACCAGTAATGTAGTACTAAATTTTCCAGTGCACAATAAAATAGGTTCTTCTAGGAACAATAAAATATAGTTCCTATATAGGTTCTTTGGAAAAAGCAGAGTTGGAACACCGATTCCATGCGTTCCCGCCCCAGTACACCACTGTGATATCATGTTTTGCTGTGAAAAATCTTGTGTCTTGTGTTTGTTGTGTCTTGTTTAAGATATAAACATATTAAGTTGATAAAGTATTTTAGCGTATCACCAGTGCGGAAACAAATGGTTTATTAACACTCAGTTTAAGTGACTACAGGTCTAATAAAGTTTTATATTATTGCCATTAACTGTAGTTCACAAAATAACTAATAATATTTTTAGATTCACACCATTTTCAAAAACCCTTCTCGTGTTATTGCACATCAAGAGCTTCAATGGAATCAATCAAAAAATTTCAAAAAACTGTGGCATATAACTATAAAATAAGCAGCTTATAATATTCAAAATAACTATGTTAGCAATTGCACCTTTTTGTTGGCTAGATATCCTCCATTTTCTTTGACAATGTTATCAAACTTCTTCAGGAAGAATGGTAAAGTTTCCTTGACAAATGTTGCTTTTCTAGTGTTTTTCAGTTCTTCATTTGGTTCCCACATATACATTGGAATTGCTGAAAGAGTAATCAATAAAAACACATAAATAAGTACCGGTAAAGGGAGAAAAAATTTTATTTGCTACTTGTATCTTTTCAAAAAGTAACTTGAGTCATGTAAATGTTTAGCATTGTCACAAAGATAGAAAGTTATGGTTAGGAAAGTTAAGATGTGTTTTACAACTATTATGGATGACAACCATCAAATCATGATAATTTTTAACTTTTTAACTTAAATACAGTAGTAGGCTCATAGCAATTCTTATCTGTAAAGCCGGCTACAGACATGCGCATTTGCTAAGCACAAAATCTTTTACGTTCGGCGATCTAGTTATCTTGCAATCCGCCGATTAACGAGTAGACGTCTACACACATGTGTTGTTTTCCAAGCAACTTTTCTTTTTGGGAATAGCAAAAATATTCGATCACTATGATGTGTGCAAAAATACCGACAATGAAAGGGAAAACATAAGCACGATCATTTGCTGCTTGCCAAATAGACAAACGCCTATCCACACTACTCACGATTTGGCGAGTCGCTGCTCGTGCTTGGTGAATGGCGCATGTCTGGAGCCGGCTTAAGAAGCAGTGTTTGCAGACTGAATGAGAAAGAGTCTATCCTGGTACGAGAAATAAAAATACCCCATCACAGCAAACCTGCAGACTAAGCCAATTTTTATCCTCACTGGATTTTCACTTAAATATTTCCTTAAATGGTTAACCCCTAACCCTTTAAGCTTGTCAGATTTATTCCATATTTAAATAACATTTAACATTTGGTTTATTGAGTACTTAGGTTTGCTGTTACGGGAAAGCTAAGCTGTGTTTTTTTGAGAAATGTAGCTTAGAACGAACGAAATAAACCAACTTGACCAATTTGATCGAAATATATCTATAAACATAAACAAGCAAAGTACTGCAGTTTACTTATTCTCCTTATAATGAATAGGCCTAACATGAGAATTTTTAAATTGAATTTTTTTTTAATTTTCTCTATAACTGTTAGCCTTTTAAAAACACTTCTAAGATGCTAAATTATTTGTTTTTTGAGCTCACCAAATTGGTTAAAAAAAAACTTGGGCAAATGAGGGCTAAAAATGAGAAAAATGAATATTTACGCCTTGTACACGGAGGATGTGTATTGTGTAACCAGTAGTGTAGTGGAGCTGGAACACGAGGGAATGGCGTTTCTACTCTGCTTTTACAAAGAACCTGAATATTGATAGATGACCCTCATTTTTTCTATGACAATGGCGAGTGTTCCCGTACGAGAAAATTTAAGACTCTACCACTGGTTGTAACAGGCTTAAGATAGCTTACACATGTCAACGATGCATCATTAGTTGAAGCAACTGTTTAGCACTTCCGTAAGTCCTGGTATAGCCATGGATATTTAAGAAACTGTTTGGATTTTGTACTGTAAAAATTAAGAACGTAGTAGACTAATATCGTCCCAGAAAACATGTTGATTTCCAATTGCCCAATTGGATTTTTACTAAAATATCTCCTTAAAGATGTCAGATTTATCCCCTATTTAAATAACATTTGGCTTAGCAAGTAGGCTACCTACGGTACTTAAGTTTACAATCACTACATGGAAGGACAATCTTTTTGGAAATTGCTATTAGTTTAGTATTAGTATGAAATAAATATTATAGTTTCTTCCCTTTAGCCCTAATGGGGAAATTTGCTAAAAAGTGCAGTGGCCATCCATATTTTAAGTGTCTGGTTAACTCACGGTCCCTTGTTACAAAATTAAAGAAATATACGAATATTTCAATAACCTAGAAACCAATTACTTTATTTGACGAGTTGTTGGCAACAATTCAGGATGGTCTAGGATCTACCTTGTGAGAACATTGTTAGGGATTGTATTTCACCAGAAAAGAACCTTTTATTACCTTGAGGTCAGGGCCGATTTACCGAATAGGCACGGTAGGCACGTGCCTAGGGCGCGAGGCAATTGTCATTTTTGGGGGGCGCCAAAAAATTGGAAAATAACAAAAATTGTGGCTGTATTTGCACGCGATCGCGTTAAACTGATAATCCTTTGCGGCCGTGTAGACATCTTAACAGTCTCCCGCAATTGTGGCAAGATATTAATTTTTCCTGTGGTTGTGTATACGTCATCATCGTCCGTCTCCCGCGATCACGGCAAAATTCTGACTATTTTCGGCGGACGTGTGGACAGCATAATTGTCGTCTTCCTTGATCGCGGCAATATCTGAACACATCCCGCGGTCGTGAGGAGATTATCACCGTCTACCGCGAATGAAGCAAAATTCTAATCTTTTCCCGGGGTTGTGTGGACATTATCATCTTCTTGCGTGATCACGATAAAATTCTGATAATCCCTCACAGCCATGAAGACATCATCGCCTCCCGCGGTCGTGAGGCATTGTGATCCCCTCCCGCCATTGTGGCAAATGGTACTCATCTCCCGCGGTCGTTTGGAGGTCTTCATCGTCTTTTGCGAATGAGGCCAAATTCTGATCTTTCCTGTGGTGGAGTGGACATTAACATCGTCTTACGTGATCGCGGTAAAATTCTGATCATCCCTCGCAGCCGTGTAGAGTATCCATAATTATTGTAACTCCCGCGATCCTGTAGACATCGTAATCGTCTCCCGCGGTCGTGAAGACATCGTAATCGTCTCCCGCTGTCGTGAAGACATCGTAATCGTCTCCCGCGGTCGTGAAGATATCGTAATCGTCTCCCGCGGTCGTGAAGACATCGTAATCGTCTCCCGCGATTACGGCAAAGTGTTAATAATATCCTGCAGTCATGTGGAGATCATTATCGTCTTCCCCGATTGTGGCAAATTTCTGACTGTTTCCCGTGGTTGTGTGGACATTATCTTCGTCTTCTGTGATCGCGGCAATATTCTGATCATCCATCGCGGCTCTGTATATCTTATTATCGTTTTGCGCGATTGCGGTAAAATCATGATCATATCCCGCGGTCGTTTAGACATTACCATCGTCTCATGCGATCGCGGCAATATTCTGACCATCCTTCACGGCTCTGTAGATCTCATTATCATATTGCGCGATCGCGGTAAATCATGATCATATCCCGCGGTCGTTTAGACATTACCATCGTCTCATGCGATCGCGGCAATATTTTGACCATCCTTCACGGCTCTGTAGATCTCATTATCGTATTGCGCGATCGCGGTAAAATCATGATCATATCCCGCGGTCGTGTAGACATTATCATAGTCTCTCATGCGATCGCGGCAAAGTTCTGATCATCCCTCGCGGCCTTGTGGAGACATATTATCGTCTCCCGTGGTCACGGAAACGTCGCTGTTGTCATGCGCCATTGCGGTAAATTGACAATTTCAGGTAGAAATACAAAATTCACGCATAATTCCGGGTTAAAAAAAATTCATGCTTAATTCCCAGATTTCCCGGTTGGTAGTCACCCTGTTATATATATTGCAAAGGGGCGCTAGTATTTTAGTTGTGCCTAGGGCGCTGACATAGTCAAAAACGGGCCTGCTTGAGGTATGTGTTTTGTAAGCACAGTAAATACACATAAAACCTTAATGTCCCTACTCGTTCATACCCTCACATGTGTACAGGTTCCATTCTTCACAATGTGACTCGGGGCGTGCTGCTAACGGGTGTTCACTATCAATGAACCTCTCAGGCGCACAATACAAACAGCGTGGAGCACATTACGGGTGTTCCATATGTAAGCAGTCATTTGATTACTAGTGTTTTGAAAGAGGCAATACACAACGGGCGTTACAACGCTTCTAATTTTTTCTTTAAAAGATACTAATCCTATTATTGATTTGTAGTACCCTGGCAAGTTGTTAAAAAATCTTTTACCCATATAAGAAGGTGTTCTTTCCACAAGATTTAATCTATATATATAGGATATTGAAAATCTGTTAACTTTTAGCCATTTTGACAGATCTTGAAGAGCTTGATTAAAGGCTAAACTTAGTTCATGACTGTTTTTTTATTTAATGATAGCTCTCGCATCGTCAGCATATAATAAGAAACTAGGTTTAACATTCTTAGGTGAGTGTTTCCAAAACTTTCATGCTGCCGAAAGACTGTATGCTGAGCGGTTTCCCGAGTTAACCACAACAATGTCGTAAAAGCTTTGAATGTTTAGCGCAATTAATGAGGTCAACCGGAAATGTTCAGCCACAAAAGAAGAGATCAAAGGTAATAGCAGTAAGACAAGGAAAAGCTCCTGATATTTTGGCTGCAGTGTAGCAGTGGAGCTAAATCCTCACAAGTCTACCGGAATCCTCTCCAGGAACTCGGGTATTAGCAAGTCTTCGGTATGTAGGATCTTGAGGGACAATCGCATGCACTGTACTTTGTAAGCATACACCATACTATAGTTCAGTTACTAGTTAGTTTTAGTTACTATAGTTCAGTTGAATATCCTCATATTGGCAACACTGTTAAAAAGAATTTCCTGGCCACTATTGGACCTGAAGATATATTATTTCATTGCTGCCTCGGGTGAAAAATTCTGTGAGTGAAAGTGAAGTTTTCTAATTATTTATCATATAGGTGGTACTTTCCCCGTGCGGTACCGGGTTAGAATAGCACCGCAGCCTTCTCGGGCTTGTCGTAAGAGGCGACTAAAAGGGTGACCGACAAACTCACTGGGAGTCCCTGGGAGTGCCCCTGTTGTGTTGCAGGGGTTGATGTGTGCTCTGCACTGCCGATGGGTTTATCAGTGGGTCGTGAGAAACCAGCCACTTCGGTCCTTGGTCAGGGAGTGCGGCATGGATGCAGAGGTCGGGCTCTGCATTGCGACGGGCGACCCCCGGCATGTCAGGTATCCGGTGCTGGGCAAACGGAGGTCGGGCCCCGGGGAACCGGGGTAGGGGTTTTTTGTCCCCGAGGGTATACCCGTTCCTGACTGATTCCGGGCCGCTCCTTGCCGCACGATGCGCTGGAGAAAACACGATGAGTTTTAATAAAAATCCTACAAACACATCATTGAATAGGAGCTCAAATGAGCAAAATGAAGCGTCTGAAGTG